GCCGCGGCGCCCGGAGGGCTTCCGGGAGGAGGGCGCCGGCGGCTCCCCCCAGAGCGCGCACCTCTCCGGCGGGCTCTTCTCTTCGCGGCCGCCAGGTAGACTCGACACGGACCTCCGCGCGTCCCTGCTCGGCGCCGCGGACGCCTCCATCCCGCTTCCGCCACAGCCCAGATCCCGACCACCCGCCCCGGCGCCGTCCAACCCGCCCGGCCCGGGAAGCGCCGGAGGGCGGCCCGAGGCTTCGTGGGAGGCGGGGCCACGAGGCAGGTCGCGACTGGATTGGCTGAGCTGCGCACTCCAGGCCAATCCCCGCGCTCCTGCGGCTCGAGCGCTGAGCAGGGGGCGGGGACAGCCTGGAACGCTGATTGGCTGCACGTGGTCAGGTGGCCTTTCTGGGCGGGGCGATGGGCGCGTCACGGCGGGCGTGGTCACGGCTGAGCAGCGCGCGGCAGAGATGCTGGGGACTTCGTGTTCCCTGCTGCGGCCTGGGCAGGTCCGCCGGCCTCCTTAAACTCCGGGCTCCCTGCGCCGGACCCGGGAGCAGGGCTGGGTGCGGAGGCAGGCGCGGCACCGCCCGCGTCCTCCGAGGCCGCGGGCCACACTTCTGCGTCATCGCAGCCCCGGGGCTCCTGAAACACGCACCCAAGGCCCCAGCTGGCGGGTGCGGCGTGGGCCTGGGCGTGCGTGACCCTCCCCTTAGGTGACTTTGAGTGGAATTAGGAATCGTTTACTGAGAGTGAATTCGAGGGATCCAGAGTAGAGGCCGGAAGCCCAGCTGGCTAAGGCGAGAGATGAGGAACACTAAGCAGGGGTCCTGGAAACGCAGGAAAGATGGATTCGGGATAGGTTTAGAATGTAAAACAGGAATTGGGGGACAGCTGAATGTGGGGCAGGAGGGAGACTGCAGTAGCGAGGACTAACGGAGTGATTCACATGATAGCGCCTTCACCTGCACAGGAAGGCAGGAGGGGAAGGAGATGAGCCGACTTTGGGATATCTTGTCTGTCATTCGCGGATCCAGCCAACCACAAGTGTCAGTTGTGAAAGTGGCCAGTAGGGCACAGATGCAGGTTCTTGAGCTCCTAACTGGCCACCCCTTTCAGAATTACAATCTCTAAGTTCAGTTGATCCCTAAGCATGGACCAGGGACTGTTCTAAGCACTTTTCACACATTCAAACTAACACCCTTATCAAGGAGTTAGTTAGCGCCATTTTATACACGAGGAAATTAAGGTAGAGGAGAGCATCTTGCCTAAGTTCGGAAGGGTCGTGAAAGAGCCAGAATTCGAATTCAGGAATGCTTTGCCCAGAAACTGAATTTTAATTGGCTTTTCGTAGACTTGCTCAATCTGATCTCCTTCGGGGTCCAGCAGGGCCTTCCCAGCACCGCAAGTCTCCACATTTCTAGATTCTCCATGTCCTTTCATTCTTGTTTGCAAACGGCTCATTTCTTGACAAATACATCCAACAGTGAAGTGCATGCCAAAGTTTGAATGAGATGCATAAGAGCCCAAGGACGGTGGAGAGGAAAGGGCATTAAAGAACTTCCAAATACAGATGATCGTGTCGAGAGGAACAGAGAGGACTCTGAAGTGTCTGCTGGATACTAACAACGAGGCACCGACAAGGTTAGCAAGAGAAATTTCAACGAGCAGTGGGAGGAGGGGTGAAAGTTAAGGACAGAAAGGGTCAAGAAAGGAGCTGCCAGGGTGGGGGGAAGAGGGATGAAGATGCAGAGCACAGGATTTTTAGGGCAGTGCAACTATTTTGTATAACTGCAATGGCGGATACGGGCCATTATACATCTGTGAATTACCGACTTCTAATGAAAACCCATAAGATGTACAGCACCCAGAGTGAACCCCAGTGCAAAATGGGAGCTTTGGGTGATGATGTGTCAGCGGAAGTTAATCAATTGTAACATGTTAACATTTGTGGGATGTCAACAGTTGGGGAGGTTGTGCACTGTAGGGGGCAGGGGCTTATGGCAACTCTTACTTTCAGGCCAATTTTGCTGTGAACCTAAAACCACTCTAGAAAAATAAAGTCCATTAAAAGTCAATAGACAGGCCAAAAAGAATAGGCATAGCTGAGGAATAAATCAGTGAGCTCCACACCTGAGCAGAATAATTCTCACAGCTCAGAAACACAGAGATGAAAAATACAGAAAGAAAGAAACATCAGTGATTCTCAACCAGGAGTGATTTTTTTTACCTCCAGGGGACATTTGGCAATATCTGGAGATGATTTTGGTTGTCACAACCGGGGGGGTAAGTGCTTCTGGGATCTAGTGAGTCGAGGACGTGAATGCCACTCAACACTCTGCAATGCACAGTGCAGCCCCTTGACGGATTGGTTGGCCGAAGTGTCCTGAGTGCTGGGAGGGTGCCACGTGTCCACATGGTGCCACGTTCCTCCTGCCTGAGGACTTTGTTCGTGATTTCAGGACTAGTCTGCCAGGGAGACGCTCTTTCCGCTTTTGTACGTTTAAGTATTCTGCCTTCATCTTTGGTATTGTCCCTAGACCTAATCCTCTGCTGTGGATTTATTATCATGGTTAGTTTCACCCCGTTGCTATTTCATTTCTTGGGGCCTTGTTCATCCTGAAAGTCTGCCGGGTATTATTTCTTCAGTGTGTTTTTCACAGGCCCGTTTATTTACTCAAGCACAGCTAACTGTTCAGACTTGGCCTCTGGCAGCAGATGAAGGGCGGGCTGCTCCCGTGATGTCACATCGTCAACTATGGTATGGGCCGGCGGCCAGTGCGCCCGCATTCCTGGGAAGTGACCGTCTCGAGGGCACTTGCATGTGGCGTGCCTGTGCTCTTAGGCTCCTGCTACAGTTACTCGGCAGTAAATAATCCTGTCGTCAGAACCTAGTCAGTTATCACAGGATGGCGAGGGCCAGGCGGGGCGCCATATGGGAGCACGTGCAGACCACCGTCGGTGCCTCTGGAAGCCTGGGAAAGATGACACCTCAGGGAGTGTCCACCTGCCTGTGGGACAAGCAGCACCATGCAAACGTGAGAGGAGCCCCAAGAGGGAAGCGGGGTGTCTGGGGGGAGTAGACCTCATCACAAGGCATGAAAGCGCGAGGCCAGGGTCCTCAGGGCGGTGGCTGGTAGGGTCACGATGGGCCGGTATGCTGTCACACTGGGAGGATGTGGCATGGTCAGCGGTGGGTTTGGTAACCCCTGTGGCCGCAGGTGGGGAGGACTTGAGGGGGCCAGCCCATCGGTTTGTTTTGGTCTCCCTCCACACTGCCGCTCCACGCCACTGTGACTGGTCTGGCACAAAGCGACCACAGCGGGAGCCACGGTCACTGGGCTCCTGTCTCCTGCTCCATCAAGAGCCGGTGCTCGGCATGGGGACCGGTCTCTATTCTCAAACTCTAACTTGAGGCTGAAGCCTCTTGGGAAAAGGAAGCAAGACCGTGTCCAGAGCTGCACCAGCGTCAGACCCCTCAACCTCATCCTGGTCAGGGAGGCAGGACACAGGCAAACAGGGACACCGAGGCTGGAATCAATTTTTTTAAAAAAAGAGACATTTGATAAAATCAACAACTGGCTTAAGAGAAAATAAAGCAGAAAATAATCCTTCGACATTGAGCACCAGGTATTGCGTGAGTGTGATTTGTGTCAACGAGTGTGACACAGGTGAAGAAAAGCCACGCCGAAAATCACGACAGGTCTCGCCTAGGTCACGAGCAGGG